TTTCTGCAAGCGAATGCAGTGATGAACCGACCATGTGAAAAATGAGCAACAGCCAGACAGAAAACTCATCTGAAATTTTTACGATTTCCCATATTTGTTAATTTGCATTAAGAATGGGCCAGAACCCCCATCACTCTTGATAAATGATACAAAGGGTTAGGCATCGAGTCATGAGAAGAGAGGATGGGTGGGCGGGGCTAGTAGGAGCAAAGATAAGACTGATTTTGGCAAATGACATACCCCCTAAGAGAAGAGAGGGTGGGTGGGCGGGGCTAGTACTTGCTAAGATAAAACTGATTTTGGCAAATGCTCTATGCTATGTTTCTGTCTACACTCGGGAAGTAGAAAAATTGATTATCAGAACTTTAAGAACTCCTGATCACAGCAACAAAATCAACCTTTAATTATTATTTTTAAACAAAAAATATAAAATATGTTGTCGAAATGAGCAAGTGAAAACTAGTATCCAGCAGAAATTGAGAAATTTTTTGGTGAAAAAAAAATGTCTAAATCTGAATACATCGTAAGCGAAGTATTTCTAAAGATATTTGGAAGCAGAGTTAATCACTTTATGGGTGATATTTGAAGAATACAGGAAACGACAAGTCAGTAAACTTGTTATATATTTAGATGATAGAGCAATACTTATAATCGTAGTCAAAGTTGATTTATATGGTATTTACAAGTGAAATGCCCATGAGTGGAAACACGGCAAAAATATACGACTTAACTTTGACTACGCGTGCTATTCGAGGGACTATTTCATGAATCAACAATTTTTATTCATACCTGTCGTGCTAAAAATAAATAAGTTAGTGAAGTTGGTATATTATATTCAGTGTTGGGCAGTATCTAGATACATTTTTGGGTATCTAGTATCTGTATCTAGATAAAATCGAATTTAAGCACAAAATATCTGCATCTAGATACAAAATTAATGGCGCAGATACAGATACATTTTTTTATTTCACTTTTTTTTAAGTAGTTATTAGTTGAGTTATACTAGTAGTAATTTTTGATACTTCGTGTTGGTGATTTTGGTCACATAAACAAAAATAGAGGTAAGAAGTGTACTAATAGTGTTCTGTCACGGAAATTTTCATATTTTAAATACCATCATTTCCTACAATGTAGCCTTCAGCACTTATACATCTTTAACTATAATTCTGGGGGGTAATAAATCTAAGCCATGTTAAGATGGTATTTTAAAAACCAGAAACCACAATTCACTATTCACTGCGTTTTACGCTTGTCGGGGCAATGCATTTTATCTGTGTATCTGAGCAACCCGGGTCCGGTAGGCCCGCTGGTTGTATTTGTGTTATTAAATAAGAGTAATTTTAATAGTAAAAATATTTGTTTAAGGTATGTTATTATTTTTAGAAAATAATAATTGCGTGTTACATAATGATTAATTTTTTCAATTAGCACAAATTAGTTCTGTAATCGACTAATCGAATGTTCAATACATAAATTTCTCTCGCATAAATCGCATATTTGTTACTGTTTTATACCTTTATTTTTCAGACAAATGTAGCATATTTTCCTGTTGCCACATGTGTCATTTCTTCACTTTTTCATTGTTGGACCTAACGCGATGCGGGCTTGGCAGGTCCGTTTTGCCCTAGAATGGGCCGATTATGTTTAAGTGTAAATCTTGGGCAATAAAATTGATATTTTTACAACCCTCGGTAGAATAATTTATCGTGATATATTCTCAGAAATCGTGAAACGAGATTAAATTAAAATGAGTTTCAACAAAAATCTGAAAATTTAAAGTTGCACGCTGGTGATTCCGGCCTGCCAGGCAGCCTTTGATCCTATAAGGTGTTTAAATACCTTTCTAAGAAATTGTACTTATTTTGCCTTAAACGGAACCAGCAATTCTTCCTAAAATGTATATACCTGCCGCACCGGACGATTACCGGACATGGTCATAAAAACATCGTAAACCGATATTGAAGAATAATAATTTGGGACAGGTTGCCGATAACAGACCTTCAGCACAGAATAATCATTTCCCGTATTCTTTTGAAATATTAATTTTAATGCTGGAGATAATTATCAATCAAACACAATTTGGACACTGTAGATTGGGAATAAAAACAAAAAAAAATATTTTTAAGCGTACGTAATAAATATTGCACAATTTGTAACACATCAAACAGCGAAGTGATGCCCTGTGGGACGGGTGTTTAGTAGCGGAAACCAAATTCTGACACCAAGAGGAAATTATTTACGTGACAATACGTTCGAAATGTTGTGAATTTAAAAAAAATCATTAATCATTAAACAAAAAACATAAACGTGTTTTCAGTTATTTTATTAGCCAAAGTTTCAAAAAGTATCTGTTTTCTTGTATATGTTAACTAGATACATTTCGAAAAAATCGAAAACAATCTGTATCTAGATACTTTTGTCTTCCATATATCTATATCTGTATCTAGATATTTTTAGAAGTATCTGTCCCCAACACTGGTTTTCAGTTTCTTGTTGTCGAAATAAGTCTACACATATTAAGAAAAAAAGACAAAATATAGCCCCGCCCACCCGCCCTATCTCAATTGTGATGATATTTTTTATTCGTGGTAAATCCAGAAGGGTAAAATCCTTTTTTCATAATGAAAAATTAAAAACATCTTTTTGAGTATCGGGTTGTTCAAAGAATACTATGTATTACGAAAAAAATAAAGTCAAGATTTTTTTAATAGTCAAGAGCCAAAGGAGCGGAATTTAATTGCAAAATCCTATCGCAGTTGATGATAGGTAATTTCGAATATTTTCTTTCCAATTTAATATTTAGTATCTATGTCCGGAGAGGGCAAAAAATAGTATACACACCACAAGGCTAAAATGCGATGTAATCCCTCAAGTGGTTACTTATCTTCACTTTCGGGATTAAATCGTGCACTTTAGTCTCTTACTATCAAATCCGATTCTCATCTGAATGACTTGGATTTAAGGATTCGATTATCGGACGTTTTAGATGAAATTTGTAAACTGAAATCAGTGGAAGGCTGGAAAGTAAAATGGTACGTTGCATCCCACTTTTTTTTTTTTCAATATTTCGAGATACTTTCTCATCATCTCAGGCCAATTTTGACGTTGCAGTTTTTCATTCATCGGAATTGAGATAGGGTGGGTGGGCGGGGCATATATTTTGCCTTTTTTTTTCTTAATATACATGGCCATATTTTCACAACAAGAAACTTAAAACATGGTTGAAATGGTACACAAATTTTTCATTTTAAACATGTTTTAAGTTTCATGTTGCGAAAAGAAGTCTACAAATATTAAAACAAAAAGGCAAAATATATGCCCTGCCCACCCACCCAATCTCTATTGTGATGATTTTTTTATGCACCGTGAAGCAAGGGGGAGAACCTTAACTGCAAAATACTTACCTCTTTACAAGTAATTAAAAACTATGGTACAGTAAAATGTTTATTTTTTAAATTTAATACCACAATCCCTTCTTCTGCACCTGCGGAACGGGTGTTTAGTAGCGGAAACCAAATTCTGACACCAAGAAGAAATAATTTAGGTGACAATACGTTCGAAATGTTGTTAATTTTAAAAAATTCATTAAACAATACATAAAAAAATACATAAACATGTTTTCAGTTATTTTATTCCCCAAAGCTTCAAAATGTATCTGTTTTCTTGTATCTGTATCTAGATACTTTTATCTTCCGTATATCTATATCTGTATCTAGATACTTTTAAAAGTATCTGTCCCCAACGCTGATTATACAGGGTCATTATAAAATATTGTAGTCGAAGAAGGCCATGATTTTGGTGACATTTTGTGCCGCCTTTTTCAGTTTTGTGGAAAGGATTACACTAATATTGGAATTTTTATTTTTTACGCCACATTAGTTGACATTAGCGGCTGCACTGTTTCAACGCTTCATCAAATTCTGTCAGATGTCAATAATTTTTTCGTTTGTACTGGTACGTTTTCCCTCACTTTGTGCGTTAATTGACTTGTCTTGTTTTCATTTTTGCTGTCTTCCCCTTTGTTAGAACTTTAATAAGTGTCTCAAAAAACAGTTTTTATCAAAACTACAGATCATTGTGGAATAATCTCAGGTAATGAACACAGAGGAATAACTATGGTCAGTGTTACAAATGATTTTTTTAGTTCTTTGGCGCAATCATCATGCCTATTACCGTAATGGGGTGTTAAATGAGGATGGGGATGGAGTGTACTCTGTGGAGGCGTCTAAAAACGAGTATCTAGTGAAATCTTCTGTTGTCATTGATGGAGAATCTTTGAAGACGCTATACGGCGAATTATGGCCAGATTTAACGACACTGGTAGCATTTCTAAGTGAAAACCGACGGGGAGACCTCAAGTTAGTGAAGACGTTGTTGAAGATTTAAGGATGAGAATGGAACAAAGTCCGAATAAAGCTTTGTCAAAAATCTTTACTGTCCGGAGTACCATACAGCCCATGTCAGAAAATCGTAAAAGAGAAGTTACATATGCATCCATACAAGATTTTGTTGGTTCAGGAGCTGCAACCAGCTGATTTTCCTTGCCGCGTTGGGTATTGTAGTTGGTTTCAAGCTGATATGGACGATAACGGGATTCTCGATTTGTCGTTCTTTTCTGATGAAGCCTGGTTTCATCTGTTAGGCTATTATGTCAACTGACAGAACTTCAGAATTTGGTGTATAGAAAATACTCACGCTTTTGAAGAAACACCATCACACGCAATGAAGGTTGGTGTGTGGTCAGCTGTTTCCAGACGACGATTCATAGGCCTGATACTTTTTCAAGTAAATGAATGTGATCAATAAACAAAATTAGATGTAGAAAGTGTATGTAGGTACTGCAATAAAGTTTTTTATTTTCAGTAACTTTCATTTTTCTTTCGGTGTTAGTTGCATTCTCTTAATTTAAAACTTACTTCAACTTACTGTTTAGTAATAATTGTAATTTTACTATTAGGAAAGTTAAAAATCTTTATTAAACATTTTGTTGTTTCAAGAGATCTCATAATCATCTACAGAACTCTTAACACTATGCTCCTGAAATTTTATTGGTTTTTTCATCTTTTTTGTTATAGAAATTTTGAAAAATCTTGATATTAGGATGGCCATGTGGGTGTGTTTTGGGTAGAACCTCTTTGACATTCCTGTTATGCAGATCTGGCATGTTTCAGATATCTAGAAACTGCAAAGCTGAAGGTAATGTTTGGACATAGCAGTTTTCACCTATTGTAGGGATGAAGATCAAGGCTTTCAGTTGTGTTTTTTCAAGAGAAAAGCACCGGTCACAAACCATGTCTGCACCAATATTTTGACCATTCCTTACAATTTACAAACAGAACTTTCGCGGGATCACAACTTTGGCAAAATTATTTACTGCAAAAACTCATTAGGTACTCATAGTGTTCGTTAACTGTGATAAGACTTGCTCTGCCATTGTCCATTACGTGATTTTTCACAATTTTTACCTTCAGGGTACCTATAAAAATGTAATTTTTTAAATAATTACCGTGTTCATTGGTTTCGACAAACTTAACCTCACTTTTTGGATTTCATTATTTGAAAAATTATTGCTTCTTTGCAAAACAGACCAGATGATTTATTCTGTTCAACTCCAATCGACTTTCCAAGGTGTAATTCATGACAAAGCCCTTAAACGTTTTTCTGACAATTTACAATTTTTGAAACTGAAATGTATTGCAGTGGCATTCACAAATGCTCGATAACACTGCAACCCTTAATGCTCTGGCCTGGCGTCTTTTCGTGTCTATTTAAAATGAAATTAAACCGCGAACCGGGCATTTCAATTTTTGACACATCTGACAGATTTGTTTGGACGTTCGTGACATTTCAAAACAGTTCAATTCATTTTGGTGATTAGCGGCACGAGAAAAATTTCATTTGTTTTTCATAGGTGAGTTGACTACAATATTTTATAATGACCCTGTATTTAGATGGCAGCAGCGACGAAGAAGATAATGAATAATTTATTTTGTTTTGATTTTGGGCAGTTTGTTAATATTTATATAAATATAATGTTTGAAATTCTCTTTTTTTTAACAAATTGTAATATGTTTACGAAATAAGCCCTACAAATTTCATTATATCCGGCCAGATGCAATGAACTGCAAAATTCTGACGAAATTATGAAAATTATTGAACACAATTCATTCGATGCTGCTAAATTAGATGTTTACTAAGCTTATTTTGCCAAGCGTGGTGACCTAATCCGACCCTGGAAGCGAAGCAAACATACTCGTTTTGACGGATACACTTACATTGAGAACTACATTACTACAGTGAATAACTCTAAACGCTAACAACCGAAAACTGCAGTCATTTACATCTATTATATAATAATAAAATTAACACAAAAATAAAATTCTGTATATAAATAATAATACAGCTTAACCGAGTCAACAATGAAATACAAATACACCTACGTACGTATTTGTATATATATAAATGTTGAATTTGATATTGGTTCCGAGTTTGTTTAATGATAATTGATAAAAGGTGTAAATTCGGGCCGATGAATTGGTGAAAAAAAAGCGCTAATCACCGTGAAACTATAGAGGAAAACCCGTCGAATTTCCCGTCATTAGTTCCGAGTTAAATACGTCACATATTATACGCGTCACATCAAAGCCTCAACGTTCGCCCCGTGCAAACCTACCCCTCAACTCAATTACCAACATAATTACTCGAAATTCGCACTTTTGGCGGATTTTTCCGTGCCGCAATTAGAATATTCCTCGCTCCTCCATAATTTATTCGGTAAATAATACAAAACATTTAAACTAGAAACGGAAGAGAACGTACTTCCATTGTTGCGGATGTGTGGTTATTGTTCCGAGGCCACAATTGTGCCAACCTTACAAACTTACACATACCTAAAACAGCAGGAAGTAGGGAAGAAATACTGGTCCATATCTTCCTGTGATCAAATAAGTGAAATTATAACGCCCTTCTCTGCGCCGTAACGTGCATTGTTTTATTGTGTTTTAAACAAAATAGGTGGCGCGGTTGGCGCGAAAAAAATTCATTAATTATGTGGAGCGAGGGCGCCAGTCGGTTGCACAACAAGACAGTAATTAATTATTTGTGCGGATTAATAATAAATTAAATAATTAATTAAGCGAAAAATTCGGGCGGATTATTAATTTTTAATTGGAGGCGCCGCCTTCCCGACTCTCGCTCCGCTTCCAGCGACGAAGTCATTTAAAATTAAGATTAATTACACGACTGTTTTTCATGGCGTACTGTATATATGTGTGTACTTTAAATTATTTCCGAGCCGACGTTTCGTTATTTAACTTCATACTTTTCTAAAGTTTCACCGGTTATTTCTTATTTAGAGGGCGCCCTGACGAGCGAACCGGGCAAATTTAGGAGGAGCGGTCGGGATGATAAAGCACGCGTCTTGCCGGAGAAGGCACGAGAAACACAAAAAGGAAGCGAGGAAGGAACAACTACAAAAAATAATAACACCGATAGTGATTTGTCTAAAGAGCCAAAAAAGGCGATTAAAATGTCGGATTTAGGAAAAATAAATATTAAAATTATGAACTTGTCGCCGTTGTAATATAAATACGCACGGAAGGTATGCGTCGTTTATATCATCCGTTGACGTTGTCGTTAAAAGCTGTAGCTTTCTGTCAGAAAAAAAATAAAAGATACTTTTGGACGTATAAATCAACAAGATTTATTGTTATTCGTCTCAAAAACATATTAGGTACTATAACTACAAGGGCTTACATTTTGCCCTTTCTTCTTAATATGTGTAGTCTTCTTTTCACAACAAGAAAGGGAAATAATGCTTAAAATGGCAAATTTTTGTACGAAAGTTTTACGCTCCTCCCCTTGGTCTGACAACTAATGAAAAATACATCATGGTTGAGATCGAGACGGATGGGTGGGGTTTCTAAAACGCCGTCCACTTCTCCAAGCCAATTAAATAGTTTATTAATGTGGAGCTTGTACGAATGGGAGGAGCATTAGTAATATTTCGCTTACATGTTATCAATATTCTTATCAACGATTTAACAGATTTGAGTAGGATTCTAATAAGAAAATAATGTTTCGATTAATTAACAATATTAAAAGTCATCACTAGAATGATAGGGTGGGTGGGCGGGGCTATTGCTTGTTCATAAGACTGCAGAAATACCTAAACTTAACTCCGCCCACCTTTTTTTTTTTCATTTCACTGACTTATTTTATTGGCTGCAAAATAAGAATTTAATTTTGATTTGTCTTAGAATCTAAGATTTAACTCAAAGACAAAAGTGGCCCCACCCACCCACCCCTACTCCGTTTTCTTGACTCATTTTATTGGCTCTGAGAGGAAATTTGGATCTTATTTTGACAAGTAATAGAATCTAGGACTAAATATTTTTTAATAAAATTTTTATTTTCATTAGAAAAACTACTTTGCCCTCAGGGTTTACATAGAAACATTTACAAATCATGTAAAGTAGACACAATGAGGTGCAACTATAAACGCCCCCCACTTCTCGAAGGCAATGAAATAATTTATTAAGGTGGAGCTTGTACGAATGGGAGGAGCATTAGCAATATTTCACTTACAATTTATCAATCTTCTCATCAACGATTTAACAGATTTGAGTGGGATTCTAATAAAAACATAATGTTGTCATTAATTAACAATATTAAGAATCATCATTAGAATGAAGAAAGGGTGGGTGGGCGGGGCTATCGCTTGCTAATAATACATTTAGTTTTCTTTGCATAACACAATTACGATTACATATTTCAAATGGTAATTTCTCGTAGAAAAATGATCATTTTACAATTAAACTCCGCCTCTCGGCTTACGACGAATAAAACAAATCATCAGAATTGGGATAGGGTGGGTGAGCGGGGTTTATATTTTGTCTCTTTTTTTCTCAATATACATAGCCATCTTTTCACAACAAGAAACTGAGAACATGGTTAAAATGGTATATATTGCTATAAAATATGGATTTTGCAATTATTGGGAGGAGCCGAACTGCAAAATCGATATTTTCTTATACAAATTTTCTATTTTAATCAGCTTTATCTTGTAAAAAGAAGTCTACATATATAAAAACAAAAAGGCAAAATGTAGGCCCGCCCACCCTCCCTATCTTAATCGTGATGATTTTTTTATTCGCCGTGAACCAACTCGACGGACTTTAACTGCCATATACTTATTTCTTAACAAGAAATTAAAAATATGTTTTTGAGTATCGTGTTGTTCAAAGAATACTATGTCTATTAAGAAAAAAAAAAAACAAAATATAAACCCCGCCCACCCACCCCGTCTCAATTCTGATGATCCTTTTTTTCTTAGAAACTTAAAACACACTTAAAATGGTAACTTTTTGTAAGCAAATATGGATTTTGCAATTAGGCTCCGCCCCTAGATCTGCCAACGAATGAAAACTTCATTACTATTTAGATCAGGGGAGGTTTGGGTGGCGTTTACTCTTTGGCTTTAATTTTTTCTTAATATACATAGTATTTTGAGAATAACATGACACTCGTACATGGGAATTTCTTGTAGAGAAATAACAAGTATTTTGCCTATTTTTTAATATATTTAGTCTTTTTTTCATAACCAAAAACTTAAAACATGTTTAAAATGGTAAATTTTTTTAGAAAAATATACATGTTGCAATTAAGCTCTGTCCCAAGCTCGCGACAAATAAAAAAATCATTATTCATCACAATTGAGATAGGGTGGGTCGGCGGGGCTTATATTTTGCCTATTTTTTAATACAGTTAGTCTTCTTTTCATAATTAGAAACTTAAAACATGTTTGAAATAGTGCATTTTTATAGAGAAATATGAATTTTGCAATTAAGCTCCGCCCCCAAGATCACTACAAATAAAAAAAATAATCACAATTAAGAGACGGCGGATGGGTGGGGCTTACATTTTTCTATTTTTTAGTATATTTGGTCTTCTTTTCATAACAAAAAACTTAAAACATGTTTAAAATGGTTAATTTTTATAGATAAATATAGATATTGATATTATATTTAAGCTCCACCTCGTGACTTATGACAAATAAAAAAACATAACATTTTAGACTATTGGGGGCCACTTGTGTCCTTTTCTATAGAATTTAGTCTCCCACTGTTTTTTATAGAATTTAAAATAATCGAGGGGACTTCTGGTGTCTTTCTTTATATAATTTTAAGGAAAATTTCGAGTCCCCTAGTGACTTTGGTATTGTGCGTATTTTTTTAAATAGAATTTGAGAGGATCTCGGAGGCCCCTTCGTCTTCTTATTTTATTTAATAAGAATCTTGGGTCCTCCTAGTATTTTTCTTATATAGATTTTAAAAGAATATCTGGGTCTTTTTATGTGGAATTTAAACAACTATTGGGGACCACTTGTGTCCTTTTCTATAGAATTTAAGAGAATCTCGAGCTTCTTTTTTTAAGAATTACATAAAAGAATATTCGAGTATCTCTTCCATAGAATTTATAAAAATCTAGGAGTCTCCTACTGTTTTTTATAGAATTTAAAACAATTTCAGGGACTTCTAGTGTCTTTCTTTATATAATTTTAAGATCGAGACGGATGGGTGGGCCTTCTTTTTTAATTAATAAGTACATACATTTAGTTTTCTTTGCATAACACGATTACGATTAGATATTTCAAATGGTAATTTGTCATAGAAAAATAGGGATTTTACAGTCAAGCTCCACCTCTCAGCTTACAACAA